ACCTGGGAATCCAGCATTTCATTACCAGTTTACAAATGCCTAGGTATCCAGCATTTCATTACCGGTTTACAAATGCCTAGGTATCCAGCATTTCATTACCGGTTTAAAATAGCTGGGTATCCAGCATTTCATTACCGGTTTACAAATACCTGGGTATCCAGTATTTCATTACCAGTTTACAAATACCTGGGAATCCAGCATTTCATTACCGGTTTACAAATGCCTAGGTATCCAGCATTTCATTACTGGTTTAAAATAGCTGGGTATCCAGAATTTCATTACCAGTTTACAAATACCTAGGTATCCAGCATTTCATTACCGGTTTACAAATACCTGGGTATCTAGCATTTCATTACCGGTTTACAAATACCTGGGTATCCAGCATTTCATTACCGGTTTACAAATACCTGGGTATCTAGCATTTCATTACCGGTTTACAAATACCTGGGTATCCAGCATTTCATTACCGGTTTACAAATGCCTAGGTATCCAGCATTTCATTACCGGTTTAAAATAGCTGGGCATCCAGCATTTCATTACCGGTTTACAAATACCTGGGTATCCAGTATTTCATTACCAGTTTACAAATACCTGGGAATCCAGCATTTCATTACTGGTTTAAAATAGCTGGGTATCCAGAATTTCATTACCAGTTTACAAATACCTAGGTATCCAGCATTTCATCACCGGTTTACAAATACCTGGGTATCTAGCATTTCATTACCGGTTTACAAATACCTGGGTATCCAGCATTTCATTACCGGTTTACAAATACCTGGGTATCTAGCATTTCATTACCGGTTTACAAATACCTGGGTATCCAGCATTTCATTACCGGTTTACAAAAACCTGGGTATCCAGCATTTCATTATCGGTTTACAAAAACCTGGGTATCTAGCATTTCATTACCAGGTTTACAAATACCTGGGTATCTAGCATTTCATTACCGGTTTACAAATACCTGGGTATCCAGCATTTCATTACCGGTTTACAAATACCTGGGTATCTAGCATTTCATTACCGGTTTACAAAAACCTGGGTATCTAGCATTTCATTATCAGGTTTACAAATACCTGGGTATCTAGCATTTCATTACCGGTTTACAAATACCTGGGTATCCAGCATTTCATTACCGGTTTACAAATACCTGGGTATCTAGCATTTCATTACCAGTTTACAAAAACCTGGGTATCTAGCATTTCATTACCAGGTTTACAAAAACCTGGGTTTCTAGCATTTCATTACCAGGTTTACAAATACCTGGGTATCTAGCATTTCATTACCGGTTTACAAATACCTGGGTATCCAGCATTTCATTACCGGTTTACAAACACCTGGGTATCCAGCATTTCATTACCGGTTTATAAATACCTGGGTATCCAGCATTTCATTACCGGTTTACAAAATACCTGGGTATCTAGCATTTCATTACTAGTTTACAAAAACCTGGGTATCCAGCATTTCATTACCGGTTTACAAATGGTTTTCCCCTAAAGTAAAGTACAAGTATTTTATAATTTGATTGGATTGTAGAAATTGCTTTGCTGTGTATTGTAAATTATAATAATATATGGAATGAATTTTAAAATAAAATATACTGTAACCAGTCGTGCATAGTGAGATTGTATTTACCTTGGTACCTTAATATTGTATGATTATTAGTCCTCATTCAAACACCATCCAAAAACGAGGACTTATGGATTGACACTGTGCGTATAGAATTGTATTGTAGACATATGATACCTGGACAGATTACATAGAAACTTCATACATAATATTATACAAATGCAGATCAATTTGTTTCAGAATCTGATTCTGAATGGTGGCTATATTTGTACTTAAAAATCAAAGATTTCTGGCATTCAGGAACTGGAACACACAATGAAATCTTGTGAACAGTCAATACCATACTTTACACATATTGGAATCTTGTAAACGCAACACTTTACAAATAATGGAATATTGTTAACACCATGTAAATGCAACACTTCACGAATAATCAAATCTTGTACACAATGGAATCATTGCAACACATTATGCAATGGAATCATGTAAAGCAACACTACACAATGGAATCTTGTTGAACTTCTCAAAATGACAAAATACATGTCTTGACTCGCACTGAAATGAGGCAATAATAGACACTCAATTGATGTTAGTTTGGCACTATTTCATTTTTGACTCCCATGTGCGAAGCACAAAATGGGAGTCTTTGCAGTTAGTGTGTCTGTATGTGTGTGTGTATGTGTGTGTGTGTGTGTGTGTATGTGTGTCCGAATGTGTGTCCGACTGTTCCACTGCTATCTCAAGCACCATA